TGTCATCTTTATCATCATCACCACATCATCGTCATCATCATCATTATCAGTGCATCATCATCACCATCAATATAAATTATTAGATCATCATTTTACGTCAGAGTTTATTTTTGCTTCACATATTTTCATTACGTTTGTTTACGCTCCTCAACAATATCAATAATAATAATTTAAATAATAATCGTCATCATTATCATCATCGTTATCAACAACAATAAATGCCACTATCATTAGGGAGTTGTTACTGTTGTCGACATCACCATCACCATCATCACTATCATCATCATCATCATCATGTTCGTCATCATCATCATCATCATCATCATCATGTCCGTCGTCATCATCATCATCATCATCATCATCATGTTCGTCATCATCATCATCATGTTCGTCGTCATCATCATCATCATAATCCTCTTCATATTACAACGCGTGTAAGGTATACAAGCTGTTATAATTAACAGCATGATATAATTTAATTGTATCAGCCTAAATATTCTGCATCTTACGGAGTAGTTTTTCCAGTGTGTAGTGGCATGGAATGTATTAATACATATGTTTATCATCGCTTTCGTATCAAAATTGATACTGTATAGATAGATATATATCAATGTGAACCAATGCATTAAATGTATCATGCACATGAATATCTACACAAATGAATAGAGGCTTATAAATTAAATTAATTAAACATTTTGTCACGTTCAATTAAAAAAGCTGCACAATAAATCAAGCCTCAGGCAAATTGTTGAGATTTTTTGAAAAAAAAGAATTTCTACCGATGCTGTTGTTGGGTGTTGTTTTGGGGTTGTCAACCATCACTTCATCGTCGTCGTCCTCATCGCCATCACCATCATTCTCATCGCACTCATCAATGTTCTTTGCTTCCAGAGAATTATTTTTAAATGGATTTGAAACGATTGATAACTTGTGGTTATCCACGTTCGCGATTGTTGGACTGTTGGTGTTGTTCGTGTTGTTGTTCGTGTTGTTGTTGTTCGTGTTGTTGCTTGTGTTCACGTGAATTTTATTGGCGTTGTAAATGTTTTCGATGTTGTTGATGGCGTGTAGCTGGTTGTTGTTGGAGCTCTGGTGCTTGTTGCAATTACTCTCATCCACCCAACTGTCAACAAATTTGTCGTTGTTGTCGTCCAGTCCATCTGGCTGCAGAATGTCGGACATGAAGAATGATTTGAGCCGAGTTTTGTCCGGTTTAGTGGGTGGTCTCTTGTTCAATTTGCCGTTTCCAAAGTTGTTAACGAGAGGATTTAAAATGTTGTTGTTGATAGTTTTATTGTTGTTGAAGTTGTTGTTGTTGTTATTATTGTTGATGTTGTTGTTGTTGTTGTTGACAAGTTGTTTAATTGTAGATGCATAATAATTTTCAATGTTCCTAGAGAGGCCCATGTTTCTTGAAAGTGTCAGGATGTTCAGGAGCTGGTTCGGATCGTAGGGGTAGTCGCATGCAGCAGGAAAGCTGGCGATCATGTTCGTGTAGTGAGTTGGTAGTTGTAATGTGGTGTGGTGGAGCTGCTGTGGTTGCTGCTGCTGCTGGTGGTTGTGGTAGTTGTTTGCTATGTTGTGTTGTCCGAGATGCATATTTGCATGAAGTTGGTGCGGCTGTTGTTGTTGTTTGTTGGGATGTTGCTGATGAATAGTGTTGAATTTTTTGCTGGTCAACTTGACGTCCTGCGAAATGTGGTTGGGTTTGTCTTGATGGTATTGCGAT